GGGAGTTGGGGGAGGGGAACAGTACTGGGGAATCACCTAGAGCAATGCTTACAAACTAAAATTGATTTATAAGATATTCTGCATCTTTTTAAAAATAATAATGGGTGGCAGTAATGTTACACGTTTGTTTAAATAAACTGGGGAAAAAATTACAGAAGACATTTTGAAAATAATTAAACGAATTTACCTGCTCCTGGATGTTTAGAAATTATAGCTTTAGCCAACACTGTCCCTAGTAGCTTTGAAACTGAAATCCGCACATCATAATTGGAACCTTCAAAGGACTTAAAACACAGTGTAGCCACACTGTCCAGGTCTGTACTCCACATAAAGCTGGCCTCATTCTGAAGTTCAAGGAGGCACTATTCAAGTGGAAAAAGAGAAATTAATGAAAAACAAAACATACCATATTTTGCCATTTATAATGCGAACTTTTTTGCCAAAATTTGTGAGGGAAAAATAAGATGAGCATTATACATGGGTAGAACTAATTCCATATCTATATAAATATTTTTAATTCTTTTATTTATGCTTATGAGTTAAAAGTGTAACTCTAGAAATCAATAACGATTACCATATGCAAAATAATATCCTGGAATATGATAATTGGTTTTGTTGAACTTAAGGATGAACTTGCAATGATGAAGAGTTCTTGGCGTGTAAATATTGTAAATTTGTTACCGGTACATAAAATTTCTTGTAAGTACTTTGTTCTTTGTTTTGCAATTATTTACTAAAATTTCTTGTACCATAATATGTTTAAAAAAATACTAAAATTCCTTTATAATACAAAAACCAAGTACCTAAATGTAAACAAATAAAAATTTGAATTAAAAAATTAAAACAAAAGACATTTTTCCCTGAAAGTTTGGGCCAAAAGCACAGGTGCACATTATACATGGCAAAATACAGTAAATGTCAGGTTCAGATCTACATGCTGTAGAAACTACCAAGATCTAACCAAAATAATACACAAATCCAAAGTTTCTAAATAATGATTACAGGGACGACAAAAGAATACTTATTAAAAGTCATAAAAATTATACTATATAAAGTAATGTGTCCACAAAAAATGGGAGGAGGAGGTTGTGAAAAATGTCTTTAGAACCAGTCTGCTGGCTTTGAGCAATTCTGAGAATAATTCCAACATAAACAACTTTATTGTATTATCTAACCAACTATGTTAACAAGGTATGATAAAAACAAAACCTTACTCGTAAATTTCAGTTTACACAATTAGACAGGAAACACAGTAGAGCAGAAGGACTACTTGGTCTGATAATTAGAACTCATTATCCTCTGATAATTTGCAGCTAACTACGTGAAGAACTTTGGGAAATTCATGTAATTCTCTAGGCCTCAGTTTCCTTATATGTTAAAACGAGGAAGTCCTAGTTGATTACCAAAGCTGCAGCTCTAAGATCATGTAGCTGTTACTAGTGTTTTCACAGGGATAAACCGATTTATTGGGTTCTCGGAAAAGTCATGAGGTATTTTTTCTATGTTTTATGTTGCAAAAATGTGTCATGACTTTTCTGACAACCCAATAATTTTCTTTATATAAATTTTTCGAAATTCTGCGTATTAGACCATCTTACCTTTGCAGCAGCACAACGAACGGCCATGGACCTATCTGTTAAGCAGGATCTAGCAGCTTTATAAACATCTCTGTGGCAAGGTGCAGCAGCAGCTCCGAGTCCTTTCAATATATTTTGCAGACTCAACATAATCTCATACCGACCTTGAGACTACCAAAGAGAAAAGAAAAAAAAGTTTATTGTGAAGGACTGCATTAAGCACTAAAATTTATCTCACAGAGAAATACTCAGATTTGTGTACACTCTAACCAATCTATTCTGACATCATTAAACACTGACAGTTGCTATTTTACGAAGTGTTTACTATCTGAAAAGTGTTATTTGTATGTACCATGTTTCAACACAATCCAGATTTCACNATTTTTAAATTTTGTTTAGGATCAAGAATTTAAGCACTTAAGTAGATAACATGCTGTCATCTTTCCTTACGAGTTGAAACCATATAAAATGGAAATACAATCTTGTCCATGGTGAATGATGTGTACCTAATAGCTAAACCTGAACTGTAAAAGCACACATAAACACAATGGAAACCACGTTAGAACACAAGACACATGAAAGCACAAGGCCTAGAAACAAACAAAAAAATATTTGTGCTTCAATGAAAACAAACAAAAATATCCCATTATAAGGAACTGAAAAACACTGTGGGTAACGGCCTATTTAGTTGGTTTTGTTTATGAGTAATAAGGTTCTCTTACTTGTAATCTGGTTTTTAAAAAGTGTTTTGGCCTCACCATATCTATTTATAAAGAAAACAGCATTAGTAATGATCTTGCATAGTATCACTTCTGTCTGGAGTCAGATCCTAAAACTTTCATTATAGGCCAGTGAGAATAATACTTAAATACTGATTTGTGATTCTAACCTGAGTAACTCCAACTCGAACATCCCTACTGACTGAACTGGTTCCTTTCAGCATATCACCACTGGCTCGAAGAAATCCTGAACTCCCACGTAGAAACCCTGTTCCTAGTAATTCCAGAACTTCCTCCAGAGATACTCTGCGAATGTTTTGACGTGAGGCTGCTATAACAAAAAACAAAACAAAACATGTAATTCGTATTTTGTAGACTAAATTTTAATGCATGATCTCGACCAGAAAGTGAACTGAAATAAAAATAAACTAAAAATCCAAACCAAAGGCAAAATTTACAGGACATTACACACAAAGTCACAAAAGGGTTCAGAGATCAAATAATAAAGGACTCTGAAGTATCATGTCAATGACGTCTTAAAATCTATTCCACTGTGAGATTATGCCCTATTGCTCTTTTCCTCAAAGAAGTTAAAAGGCTAACGGTATTCTAAAACAAGGAAAACATAAATTGCCATAGCTCTCCATGAACGAAAACCAATTTGAAAATTCTTTTGAAATACTTAAAATGCCAAAATCATAATTTTATTTCTCTAAATGCTCTACAACTCTTAATGAAACTTATATAAAGTAGCCACCATGTTCTACTTTAAAAATTCTGAACTGTTCAACTAAAACTAATATAAAATAATATTGAATGTCAACTGTAAGT